TTATTTCTCCATTTGAAATGCATACGAATTAGTAAATTTATACAATAGGTACTTCGCTTTTCAAAGGACAGTTTTGAAAGAGTGCTTTTTCAGACATAAACAACTAAATACACATTTAACATGAACAAAACATTGAAATGGTTTTAGAGCTCTTTGCTCCACTTCTCTTTTTTTTATTACTCATTACTTGCTACACTCATCCTGTTTGGGCAAGGATATCTGCATGGCCACATGCACTGACATAGTGTTAGATATTTGTGTTGTAACAGAAGACAAACACAAGGGAGAGAGAACAGCAATCAAAAAAATAAAGGGGAATGGGGGATCCCTCTTCCCTTAAAAATGAAATCCAAAATGGAGAAATAAGGTTCTTGTTTAGTTATGTAAAATTTTTTGCTTTACAGTGATTAGGGATCCAGAATATTGCTAAGCGACTTTCTCCCTTACACTTGGCAGCATAAAAATAATGAAGAAAAAATAGAACCTGAGAAATCTGGAAAATGCCATCCTAAAGATATCACAGGCTGCACTGCTGAGCCCTGTTTTCTCATTAGTATGGAAAGAAGTGGAAATTTCTTGAAAACAATGTACTCAAGACCAAATCCTTGAATTTATATAAACAGCTTTCATTTCAGTATATAAATCCCAAACGTCTCAAAACTCTTGAGTGACCAAAGACATACAGAGAGAGGCAGTGTTCCTGCCACCCTGCCTATAGGGAGCTTCTCTTGATGGATGCTGCTCTCTTCCAGCCTTGTGAGCTGTTTCATCTCAGCCTGACAGACGGCCACAGCGGAGACCCCCAGAAGCCACATCAGTCCTCACAAACCATATGGACAAGGACTAAAACAAGGCACAGAAAAGGTTCCCTGGGAGCAAAAGAAGCACCTCAGTATATACAAAATCCAACGCTTTGTGATATTTGGAGTATTTTTAGAGCCTAGAACTTACAAAACCGGTTTTCACAGTCCTTTCCACTCACCTTAACCAATTACCCACATCTTTAAAAGATTTGAAAAGTAAAAGGACAAAATCCTAAAAGCAGCTAGTATGTCACCACTGTCGAATACCCCCTCAACAATTTGTAGCCTGGTGTCTCATGTTTTATTATACAATTCCAAGTCACCAGAAATAACTTCTCAATCCAGCCAAGTTCATGCAATGATGCACAGCCAAAAGTTGCTTTGAGGAGGAAGGGGCTGGGCGTTGAGAGGCCTTGTAGCCAGTTTTATAATACATTTAATCTACAACAGTCTAGAAATATAAAATTAAAAAAAACTCAAAATACCAACAGCTCTGAGCTTCAAATGAATTTAAACATGCCTTTTTTGTAGCACAAGCTCACATGACTCATTAAATAATTTACTCTATAAATTACTTATCCTGTCTTATTAACAATTCTAGAGTGCTTTATATAACTGCATTAGAAATTTATTTTGTGGTTTTGAAATGTACGCAATACACAATCACCCCTCTTTTAACAGGCAAGGGTTTAAAAGTCACCTACTATTTTGTTGGCAAGCAGTTCTTCCTGAAAAACACCAATTAATTTCAAACCCCATTCACCTGAATAATCATAAGTAAACACATTAATGACTTGATAGCAGAACTGTGAAACTAGGCCAGGAATATACTTGCACTGCAAGAAGTCACTTTTAAATCAAAGTCTTCGAAGAGCCATGTACACCGAGATCTAATAGCAATGGATTTTACTTAGCAAGAAAATATCAGACTGGTCCTTTTACAAGAAGTCCCGGACACTTTAAAAATTACTCATTTACTACCCTATTGATATTCTGTAATAAGTGATCCTGACAAGAACTACTTATTTGCTATTGTGCCTATAACGTATGGATTTAACAATACTGATACAGTCATTTTGCACTCTTGGTCCTTGGCTCTTAATGTAAGCTTCAATGACTGATATTGTTATTTTAATGCAGGATCTCATTCTAGAGTTGAATTTATCTCAAATAATATCCAAATGACCAAACAATTATTCCAATTACATTCTGTTATGATAAGCATTGGCACTTGCTTTCCAGATAAAGGCCAGCCGACATCAGTTGGATGAACCTAAAATTGGATTTAGCCAATTGGACAAATCTAGCCAGTTGGACAAATCTAAAATCAATTTCATTAACTGTAATAGCAAATATGCAAAAACAACTAGGAAGGGAAAGAATGAGGAAGATGACTAAGAAAGCACCAGGCATAAATACTCTTATGCCCTCCCACGCAAAATTTCAGCAGCTGGCCCTCACAGGGCTGATGCAGAAGTACTCTGGGTGTCTTTCTGGCCTTCACAGGGCTGATGCAGAAGCACTCTGGGTGTCTTTCTACTGCTCTCAGTAGATTTGGATGTTGGATCTAACCAGGAACCAAGAAACAGCTTGACTGGGACGAGACCACCTATTAAGCTCTAAACTGCAATTTACCTACAGACCAAACCAGAGCTGAAGCACCTGGGTGTTAAAGGATAGAGGCTGCCTGATGCATGCTACCTCAGCTCTGCTATTCCTACTGTACTGCCCCAGCTTTTCATCCCACCTCTTAAAGGGAAAACCCTGGCTGCCCACTCACACCCTGTGTGCTCAGTGCCTTCCACCTGGCCCACAGCCAACCCTCTGAACCACCATGGACTTCACATACCACTCTGACCACGCAGTTATCCCAGCCTCCCATGCTTGTGGCCCGAGTGGAACTGGACTCAGCACACATGCCCCACGTGCCTATGGACGTTTTGCCTCAGACTGTGAGATCGACTCCCGTTAAGAGCAGAACATAACCAACAAATAAAGGACTGGTTTCAATAAACACTCTGGAAATACATGGGAATAACCTCTTGAAATTAACTGTCTTACACTCTTCTCCTCTTATTCGTACTAAGAGTAATTCCACCAGAGACCACTGGAATTGTGCTCCCACATCTGTAGAGCACATAGAAGAAGAACCAGGCCTGAAGATTCACAAGTGAAATGCAATGCTCCAGCTTCTTAAACCCGTTTCTTAGCTAGAATAAAGCACGATCTACAGTGTTAAAAATGGTTCCACAATCTGTACCTACTGTATTAGAACCACTTCACTACATAGTTACTGTTTACTGAGCTCACACAATGAAATAATGTGACAGCTATTGCAGTCCAATTTTTAATTTATGCCTACAAACTAATTGAAGGGCCTCTGTGTTTTATGTTAAAAGTACACATGAAAAGACCATCTTAAATATGTGTGACAGCATCTCCTGAGAAATCCATGACTCAAAATTATTTTTAGATCACCAAACACAACAACGTGCAATGTCACAGAATGATACAGTAAAAACCAAAAAGAACTGTAAAGACAGCGATGCGCAAAAAAAAAAAAAAACAGGAAAATGAAAACCAAAAGCAGCAATACAAAATGATGTTGAAATTTAATCATAGCTGGAACACATATTTATAATATGTGTTTTCTCCTCTGGCCTTTTAAACAGAGATTAAATTCTGAGGGAAAATGGCTCTGTTACTTCTAATTTGAAAGCACCAGATAAAAAGGCTACAAAGCCTATGAAAATGAGCAGAGATGTATAGTTCAAAATAATTTTTTTCCAATTCAGTAATCTACGGAATATTACACAAACGTCTATATCAGTAACAGTTACACAGAAACTCAGAAAGACCGTCTCTTTACCACAGATCTTAAAAATCTACCAAAGGTAGGCCATATATGAGCAGTAGAAATTAATGCCTCCAGCTTTCTCCCCAAGCAGGGAAATGCAGCAAATTGACTCCAACAAACTGTAGGAATGTAGCGCAAAGGCTAGAATTTAATCTAAACTGACACTGTATTTCGCAGTATTTTTATATTGCTTCTAGAGGAAACTGACAAAGAGAAGAAGGATGGTGAAGCCAATTAGTGAGAAAGAAACCTGTACAGATTTGGGGGAATTCTGGTATCTTTCACATTAAATGCCATAGAAAGCAATTCAGAAACAAGTAAAGGGAATTACGAAGATGGAGAAAACAGCTTGAGATGTTTTTTTCCTGATAGCTAACATCTACACACCCAGTACCCAAATTTTCTTGCTCAGCAAGAACCTTTTCAGGTTTCCTCAGGAAACGTACATAGATGCCACAGTGCTCTGAGTTGTGAAATGATGCAGGATTTAATATGAAAAACAAGAGAACTCCCTCACCAAAGATCGTGTGCAGGCCAACGAGGATGGAAGTACCACATGGAAATGAGGAGAAAAAAAAAAACTTTTTTGCACCTTCCTCACGGTTAATTAGGGTTTCCTAATCCTCTACCACTTGCTGACAAGCAGCACAACGTTCATTCCTCTGCAGGTTTCGTATTTTCTCCTTCCAGCCACCTCCACTGAGAAGGGCAAACCACGTTCGCATTCCTATGGCTAGGGTATGGAAGATAGTTTGCTGTCACTTTCACCAGGATCTGCCGCATCCTTTCCTTTTTTTTTTTTTTTTTTAATAGATAAGGAGAACAGGAGAGATCAGGGGCGAGGTTCGTAGCAATAAACTGAAGGAGAGAACGTAAAAAATAAAATAAAATAAAATAAAATAAAATAAAATAAAATAAAATAAAATAAAATAAAATAAAATAAAATAAACCCTTCGTACCATACCTGCTGCCGCCGCAGAGGTGTGGGCTGACCGGCGCGCGCCCCGGCAGGGGCAGGAGCAGGAGCAGGGGGCGGAAGCGGAGCCCCAGACCCCCGTCCCGCTCCCCGTGGTCCCTCTGCCACCGGCGGCGACCCCCGCCCAGCTCCCCGGGAACCGCATCGCGGGCAATTAGGATTCACCATCTAAACGGGCTCACAGTGGTACCTCTGGAAAGTCGCGTCCAAATTAAATCATACGGGGTTTTAGGCTTCCAGCCACCGCATCTGCCCGCGCAGTAAATCCCTCTCGGCGCGGGCCAGTTCCCCGCCGCCTCCGCCCGCAGCTTCCCCCGCCTGCTCCGGCCCGCCGCCCCCGCGCCTGGCCCCGGGCCGTACTCACATCTCGGTAACGTTGTCGCCCTCGGCGCTCCGCTGCGGCACGGGGAAGGAGGCGATGCCCGGCGACGGCTCCGTGCACCAGATCCGCCAGGAGCTGCAGCGGCAGGACGCGGGACAGCCCAGCGCACCCCGCCAGCAGCCCAGCACCAGACAGCACAGGCACCACAGCCGCGCCAGGCCGGGTCCCGGCCTCCGCCGCCAGGACACCATGCCGTCCCCGTTCACTCCAGCGCTGCCCCGACGGCCTCCGCCTGCTCCCTGCGCCGCCGTCGCTGCCGGGGCGCTCGGCCGGAGGGTGCGCAGCCTTCCGCGCCGCGGGCGGTCAGCCGGGACCGGCGCTTACATGGGCGCGCCGCAGCCGCAGCCACACCGCCCCGCGGCGCTGTCCGCCCCGGGCGCTGCGCGGGCCGGCGGGGGCCGGACCCAGGCGACGCGGAGCACGGGGCCGAGCGGGCCCTCCGGCGCGGCGCGGCACCTGCCCCCGGCCCCGCGGGCTGACAGCGGCACCGCCTGCCCCCGCGGCTACTCCCGATGATGCTGCAAAACGCGCGGGGCGGCGGGGGCAGGTGGCGGAGGCTGCGCGCCTACCTGCGGGGGCTCGGGCCGCGCTGCCCGCCAGAGGGAGGGCGAGCGGGCGGGGAGGGAGGCGCAGCTCGCGGCGGCGGCGGGGCTCGGGGCTCCGCGCTCGCCGCTTTACGCACCGTCTCCTCCTCCCTCCAGCTGATAATAAAGCAGCTCCGGCTCCTGCTCCAGCCCAAGACGGGGAGCTGCCGGCAAAGTGACGTGGGGCTGACGCAGAGAGGGGCAGAAACTCCACAAAATGAGCTTGAAATAAAAAAATAAATTAAAAAAAAAAAAAAAAAGGCACAAGGGAGGGAGGAGGGAGAGCGGGGGAAAGGGAGGCTGCTGAAGAGCGGATACCAATAGGCAGGCTGCGCCTGAGCCTTCAGCCTCGCTCTTGCATACGCGTGCACACATAGGCGTACACGCACCCCGCGGGATGGGGAGCGCCCCGCCGCCTGTGAGAGCTGTCTGCCCCGGCGGGCCGACGGAGGCACCGTGCCGAGGGGCACCTGGCATCCTCGCCGGGGCGAGAGCTCGTCATCGGGCGGTAAACGGGCATGGTGTGAGAACCCCGGAAGGCGATGGATGAGCGACCCTAATACACCTTGTTCTTCCCTTGACAGCTCTGCAGTTGGGGGTGTTTTGCGTTTTTCTGCCCCCACCCCCGGTTGCGGGTTCCGCAGCGCTGCCGGTGAGCAAGATCCCGCCGCAGTGCCCCGCACTGAGCGCTCCGCAGGCGCCACCGCGTGTGCCGCCGCCGCCGTGCACCGCGGTGCGGCCCGCATCGCCTCCGCGCCCAGCGGTGAACCCCCGACCGCCCCATGGAGCCCCAGGCACCCCAGGGGAGCGACACACACTGCGCGCAGTAAGGAGTTATCATTGCTGTGCACTGAGGCTGAGGCGTGTCCGAACGGCATCCGTGTGTCACGCATTCGCAGATGCAAAGAGCAGCTGATCTGGGATGTTCTTCCACGTTTCTGAGACTGTGTGCTTCTGTCCTGGTACACGGCAGGTAGCTGTCTAATCATATATGGGCACATACTGAACCTTAGTATTTCACAAACATCTTAGGTCTCTATTGTCCGTGATTCTGCAAAACTGAGAAGTTGTCAAAGAAGTTTTAGATAAAACTATGCAGTTGCATCAAACTGGCTAATTAGATAATTCAATAGTATTGAAAGGACAAAGTTCTGTAGGCAAGACTATAAATTCATAAGGCTGCAGGTAAGCGTTAAATAATGCTAGAGCAAACACTTGGAAAAGGACCCATCACCTGTTGTGCTAAACATCAGTTTATATTTTCTGCAGTTCAAAAAATTTTTCATAAGAGTGTTGCTGAGCTGTACCATAATCATTGCTTAGAAGTTTGGAGACATAGATTTCTGCATGACTTACCAGGAGTGACAACATGATGGTAAAATATCAAATTCTGTTAAAAATCTATTTCCCCACTAAAATTAGTATTTTATAAAAATAGACTGGGGGGACAATATGGGAGCAGACTGAAAGTTCCACCAGAATTGTCAAAATGAAAGCTAGGGAATGCTGCACTGAGAAATACCATTGTTGGCCTAGTGGGGGAAGCAGCAACTCTTTCAATAGGCACAGTTCCTGCTTTGAGTCTTTAAATTCTAGAATTATTTAGGATAGCTGTACTAAAAAATTCTGTGAGAAGTCATGATTTTATTTTACATAGATAAGGGTTTTTTTTTTATGTTCTATGTTTTTTTCTTACAGATTAAAGGAAGTAGGAAAGAACTTCAAATACTCAAATACTTCTTGATTAATCAGCACTTAAGGAAGAGCCACAATATGAATCAGTACTTAAGGGAGAGCCACAACTAAACCACTAGAGACAAGTAGCTTTCTGGTAATCCTGCAAGAGCAAACATCATCCTGAAGGTGTTAAAACTGGAGCAAAGAGTTGACAATATGACAAAGCTATAGAATGTGATTAGAGGGCTAGAAAATATGAATTCTGAGTCAAGATTGAAAGAATTGGCTTTCTTCAGTGCGTGAAAGTCTGATAGGAAGTGCAATAACACCCCTGAAATATGTAAAAGGGCATGCAAAGGGACAGGTAATATTTTTTCCTTGTCTGTGGAATAGGACAAGAAGTAATACACTAGATTTGCAACAAGGATGATTCATGTTTGACATTATGAAAACTTTTGTATGAAAAGGACAGTTAAGCACGACAAATAGATCACTTTGGAGAACACTCAAATCTTGAGTAATAGAGTCTTCTCAGAGCAAGTGAGGTGAACCTCTTCAGAGCTGGTGAAGTAGAGTCAGATTTGCCTTAGGTAGATGAAGGCAAATTAATGACCTCCCAGAAATTCTGTTCTTTTGCAATACACATTTCTTTGCCCATTTTTTTTACTGCTATAGATAAAGTTACGTGGGAGCACATTCATCTGAATATATTTGGAGCAAAACCTGAACATGCTGAAGTACTCAGTGTTTCCTTGAAATCACTGTCCTAAAGTTGAGTTAAGTTTGATCACTCTGAAGCTTTAACTCATACACCATACCTAAAGAAGGAGCCCCTGGTGGTCTAGTGGTTAAGGGCGCGGCGCTGTCTCCACCGAGGCCCGGGTTCGATTCCCGGTCAGGGCCACTCCCGGGCAGGTGGAGCTCGTTAGCCCTTAAAGCAATCCATCTACGTCCTGAGGACCTCGCTGCCACCGTCCAAGCTCGCTTGGCCCCGGCAGATGAACCTTAGGATTAAAGGGTGGGCTCAGTTCCGCGCACACTGTGTCTCACCTAAAAAATCCAATGCGCAGGCTGGAAGGTGGAAAGACCTTCCCCGGATCTTCGCTCGTGAAGACTGGCCATTATACCTAAAGAGCATATCATAGCATAGAAATTATAGTAAATATCTGCAAAGGTGTATAACATGAAATTCTGGGAAAAAGGCAGCACCTGAAAATTCAAAGAATCCCTCTGAGAGTACTGTTATTTAGGTGGGGGAATAAGAAATTATACTGCAAAGTCTGAGACCAGGTCACATGATTTCTGTGTGTGGCAAAGGTGTGTGTATGCAAAAAGACCAGTCTTACCAAAACTGCATAGAAATAAATGCTTACAATTTGCTTCCAGTTTCAAAATTTTTAGGTCTTACAAGAGGAAGAGGTTGGAGACCTCATAGGAACTCGTGATCTTATCAGCAACCTTTTGTTTTCTAGAGAAATACCCTGATTCCCTTGAAACTTTCAATATGAAGATGTCCTTGCATTCAAGAACTGTGGTCAGAGACACACATCTGCACCATGATGCAGAGGAAGCCTACGAGCTCCAGTCGCCAGTGTCTGTTGGGCTGATAACTACTCTGAGATGTACCTGCCTCTCTTAAATGAGCTCCCACATCTTTTCCCTCAGTGACAAAAATTGGCTTCCACACAGCTCTTTTCTGAATTTCCTCCAAGCACGAGGCACTCTCTGAATGTCTTAGCCTGCCTTTTGTTCTTTGCACTGTTCCACCTATTTGTAGATTTATCTAGCTACTTGATCATGGCTGATTTTGCATTCTTAATAATGGAAACATGGTTACGTTATTACTTTCAAGCACTGTTCAGCATTTATTGGATTTTAAGGAAAGCTGAATCCTGCCACCTTGTGCTCAAGAAAATTAGCACACCTTTTTGTTTTTTGAAGGAGGGAAAAAAGAGAAAAGGGGAAGGGCAAGCTGACTAACTACCCTGTTTCTATTATAAAAGGAATAAAATGGGGCTCTGTCCAGTGGTTGGGTCCAGTTCAGTATTGCCTGAGATGCCTATCTGAGTTTTTTTAAAAAGGACAGTCACTCTTCTAGAGACACTGTTCACAACATGGAGTGTCGCTTTTCATATCCCCACAGAGTTTCGAAGTCCCCCGTGTCGCCCCCATGCCCTTATGAGGGCAAGATGTTTAACCAGCCTGTCATCCCATAGCCTGTTTGTCTGATGGCTGCTGGTATTAATCACAGAGTTCCTGGTTACTCTTGATCACATTTGTTTGCTAAGAGAGCAGTGCTGCTTTCTTTTCATCAATAAGTGGTCACATCATAGAGTGGAGGGAAAAATCCTTCTCATTTATAAAAAAAGAGTATTTCTTGGGGGAATGGTAAAAGTAATGATTGTAAGGAGCATGGAACTCCCTTTTTTGCTTAAGTCCTAGGCAGCATTGTTTTTCTGGCTGACAGGGCTCCACAAGTAGCTTCCTGGTAAAATGTGAGTGCAAACATCATCCTGAAGGTGGTAGAACTAGAACAAAGACTTGAAAAAGTATCTTCCTCCCTTAACTGTCCCCCCTGTGTGTCACTGCAAGCTCTTACCCCAACATTGGTCAGTTTTTTCCACCACTCTTGTGAGTCTCTCTGCAGCCAGCCAGACTGGGCAGCTTGTTATTTCTGCAACTATCCAGTTATCACCTTATGGACAACTGAAAGCAAAGATAAATTATGTGCCTACCACTAAGACTTCAGCAATAGAGATCCCAAAGCAACTGATCAGCCCTCATGTTTTGTTTTGTTGAGTTATTTCAAACAGTGTTTGTTCAGGTTAAGTTTGCATCAATGGCATGGACTTGCTCAGTTCACAGAAATTGTTTTTTCCTCAGATAATCCAGCTGACTGTCTATATCTGTTTGCATACATATATTTTATTGTGCAAATCATACTTATCTTTCTGATTAGGAGGGTTCAACAGGTGGAAAATGGCAACATAATAAAATTCTGACAGTCAGTTGTCCATTTTCTCCCAGTTTAACAGCAGTCCAAATTGTAAGGATTTTTTTGCCATGATGAGCACATGATATTCTGAATCCTCCTTTACAGTA